GCACGTAGCCCAAGGTCTGGGGCCGCACCAGCCAAACCAAACTATCAATCCCGTCCATAGTCTCTACAAAGCGGTGTCGGCAACAAAATAAAAATAAAAATGAAGAAAGAGATAAACCCTTGACGTCGCGTAAACCTAGGCCTTTGCGGGCCGCACCCTACCGTCGACGTCCATCCCGCAGAAGTCGCACTGTAGTCAAGGTCGATCTCCACGTACGTGCGCATGCCTCAGTCAAACGTACCAATCAAAAGAAACGCATCCTTTAATCCTAAAATAAATAATAATGAGAATAATAATAACACAAGGCAATCAGCATCCACGCCGGCTTTACGATCATGAACAGGGGGAAGAAAATCACGGGCGCCTTAAATCCGCGCGCCCACGCACTCTCTACTTCTAGTCAACCACTTAGTCAATGTAAACCGCAGACATTATCACGCCTCATACGGTATACTTTAAACTTTTAAACCAGACTTATTTTCTGTCATCTGCAAAAAACAGGGCGGATACCCTTGTAAGGGTATTCGCACCGACAGCGGGACTACGCAGGGATCTGTCTCACATAAAGGCGTTTACCAGCTCCCTATGGGACAACATAGAGATCACGGCAGCCTTCTCACAATCATCAACAGAAATCATCACCAGGTTCACTAGGTCGTGGCCCCTGACCTAATCAGAGACAGTAAACCACACATCCCGACGACATCTACCAAATGCACTGATTTGCGACACACTTAATCCCATCCAAAACAGTTTTTATGGTCCTTCTCGTCAGACTTTATCAACTCGAACTTTGCTTACCATGCCCTTAAATCTATTAACCACCTTTCACACCAACTGGCTCCACACGACCCTCCCCGACTCTAGGCCATACGAATCGTCAACGATTGGATCGTCTTTGTGCGCCTACCGCGAGGACGACGATGACAAATCACCACGTCGCCGTCTTCGTCGTCGAGGATCCCCGCCTTCAGGGTCCTTGCCATCCAAAGTGACCAGGTCCGCCATGTCCACCCTGAAATCCGGAAGCAGGTTGTGCAGTATGCACACCACCATGAACTCCTTTGACAACGTTTTCAAATTATCGATTTGACGATGAATGAAGTTTCGCCAAATTCCTTTCAGCAGGCCGAATGTACGCTCGATGCAACTTTTGCTCGTCGTGTGGCAGTCGTCGTAGGTCACTTTGTCAACCATTCATGGCCTGGTTGCCATGCCAACAAGCGTCATTATCCATGGCAACAAGGGGTACCCCACGTCGCCGAGCAAAAAACGCCCAATTGGACCACCGTTCTTTGCCGACACCTTCATCAACATCACGGAAGAGTGGTGACAAGCGCAGGACCCTAGAGTCATGGTTTGACCCTGGAAATACAATGTAAACGTCCAGGATTCCGCACTCGTGGTCACACACGACTTGTGCAGTAATGGAAAACTGTCCTGTTTTGTCTTAGAAACACTCACCGCGCTTCTTCCTTGGCTTCTCGATGTACAAGTGGGTGCAATCGATGACGCCCACACAGCCAGGGAAACCTTTCCTTTCGAAAGCGTTTGTCATCTTTCAGGCTTCCAACTTTTGGTTGGTAGGGAATGCAATGACATGTCCGAACTCCCTGATTATGACTTCTGCAACTTCCTTTTTCCTACGGAGGGCACTCATGGGACCCATCCCCAAAGCATGGCTAGACTGCCTGTACAAGACACCAGTAGCCCATCGGATCAACACGCAGGCAAACTTTTGCTCCGCTGGCAATGACATTCGCCAATTGGTGATCTATCGCTGGCTGTGGGGAACAATTTGGCAACCGATGTCCTAAACACAGGTTGCGGCAGTATGCAAAAACGCTTGAACACTCTGTCGTACCGATGGTCGACATGTTGCAGATCCCCCCACACCCCGCCACTATGCTCGAGCACTAAGATCCGCTCACACTGTACGGCCTTCTCGTGAGCGGTAGTCAACGCAGCGTGCAGCAGCTGGAGGTCCTGCCACAACCCACCGAAGAGCAATGTCAAGGCGACTGGAATCCCAACATCCCACATAGGTATGATGGCTACGGCCTGCACCGCCGTCAGCGCCACCATGTTCCGATGGTTCATCCATTGGATGATAACCATCACCATCAGGAACACCTCGTCGTCCCAATCGTCGACGACGTTCCTGTAGTCGGTTCCATGACCATCTCCGTTTTTCATCACAACCCGTGCCCCTGCTGTTCCCTTCTCCTGCAAGCGTTTGTGTCACTGGACGACGTGCAACACTTTGCCTTGGAGTTTGCACTATAGTTGGCGACCAACAACACTGGAGATGGAGCCCTGAAAGAAGAGCATTCGACCCCAATGGCGTCTCCAAGGAATCCAGCAACGGCTAACTCACCACAGAACACCACAATACAAGCCCCAAAACTGTCATGCCCCCCTAAATTCTGTCGTTGCGGGCCAGAACAGGGTTGGCAACACGGAGCTGTGGAATTGGCCGTTTTCACCCCACATTATTGTGGTTCTGTCGTGCACACCTTCCCTTATCCCACAATTTTTGTCAACCTTTGTTGCTACATTCCTGTATCAGGAACCCGCAACAACATACCCGCCTTCTACACCCCACTAGACCGCTTTCCTTTTCGGGAGGGCTACAATTTCCTATTGTCTACCGTATGGGCGCAGGGAGCACAACCCTAAGGTAGCGAAAGCAATGAGAC